AAAAAAAAAAAGTCCAAAAAGTTATGAATTTCTTGTGATTAATGACATGATTTCAGTAATCATTGTCTCAATAGAGGGGGGATAACAGCCAAAAAGTGGACAATTTTCCTCAGGGAGAAATATATACAATCTAAATTATGCATTCACAGATTTTATTTTTGACAAAAGAAGGATGAGCAGCCAGCATCATGACGGTTCAAGAACATACCAGTATAAAGATGGAGCATTCTGCACGAGGATGTTACCACCAGCCACGATCCAGTAAAAGCCAACCATCCACCAGATAAACGAAACCATGGTGTTCACTGACTCATATCTTTTGACAACACTGCCCATCCACCATCAAGTCAATTATGCTAACAACTTATAAATCATCTAGCCTTTAATCGATAACTAAAAAAACATGCAGTTACTGAATTCCAATTAAGTAAAAACAAACTGTAGGAAGGGAATCAAATTTAATTTTTAGTTGTGGAAAGGAAGAAAGCTACTTAATCTACAAACTCATAAAATTATCTGAGCGCTCAAGAAATCAATCAATATTATATTCAATGGATAAATGGCTTTTACTTAATGTGAAAAAAAGTTATATTAAGTAAAAGAAAAGGAAATTCTTACTTTTCGATAAGCTCTAGTCATGCATGTAATTGGCTGAAATACTCTTTCACTTCAATCGGTATGCAAATATTACCCCCTGCATTCTCTTTTGATTAAAACCATTTGAGGAATTATTTGTAATCCCTTGCCTTTGGTTGATTTCTCATCATCCTTCGGTGTTTTGCTTGATTAATGAAAATTTCTCTCGTCTCCTATCCTATCTATATATAATCCCTGCACTAACTTTTTGAAATCATAAATCATTGCACTTTATCTTGGGCGGCAAATTTTCTGTAAATACTAATAGAAAAGCAAGCGGCAGCTGCAAAGTTTATGATTGGAAAAAGAATGCAGGGGTTAATCATTCAATAATCCTTAAATGCAGAGATAACTTCTACATTTTAACCAAAAATACAACAGTATAATCAGCTGCATTTGAAGTTACTCAAACAAAGACTAGAATCGTATTACAGTTCTACAAATATCATCTTCCCCATGGTCTTTCAAAAATTTTATCTGATCATCATGCTTCTTGGCAGAAGTTGCCCAGCATCCAAAAAATGAACAGAACATTCATTCAAACTTAGAAAAGGCATTTTGATAACCAAACGCAAAAACATGGATTCCAATTCCAATTTACTCACCTGGATAGATTCCTCGAGCTACCATCTTCTTCATCGCTAACATTATCAAAATACCCATCAGGCTGCGGCCGTTGCTGCGTCTCCGACACCCTAGCCCTCCTCGCATTCCTCCTTCTGAACTCTAACCAAACTAGCACAACGTGCACCAAGCACTGAACCGCATAAACCACGATCCAAAGCCGAATCGGCATATTGGGTTTCTCATCGACCGAGTGAAAAAGCACAACCAGCGAAACGACAACGAAAGCCAAATTCCATGCAATGTCAAGCGCGACGATGGGTTTGGAGTAGCCCCAATCCATGCGGCGCTCCTCAAGTTCGCGCGCGGCCGTCTCCCGAACGGCCATGGAAGTCCCACGGCGGCCAGTGAGGCGGCCGAGGAGAAGGGCGAAGGGGCCGACGGAGGAGTCGGAGGGCTGACGGGAGCGCAGGAGAGGAGCATGTTGGGACTCAGACATGGTCGCCGGCGAGAAGGGAGTTAGGGTTTGAGATTGATTAAGAAGGCGGTGCGACAGTGTAATGGGTCGCTGGAGCTTGTTGTTTGAGAAGGAGAATCTTGTTGTTCTGCATCCGCTGCTTCATCTGTCTAGAAAATGATGGAAAATTCATCATCTTCCATGGCCGTCTGGTGTTCATTTTCACACCTCTTTTTTTCCTTTTTCTTTCTCTTTTTTTTTTTTCTTTTTCTTTTTTTGTTGGCTTCGTTGCAAGAAATTCCTTTTTCCCTTCCATGCTAACTTTGCACTTTCCAGGTTAATTCTACAAAAATTAAGATTTTATTATTACGTTTTTCTCCCTATTTGGTTTATTTTTGGTACAAGCTCACTCAAAGAATCAAATCTAAAATTTAGGTGACGCTACCAAGTCTAGTGATAGCATAATTTTTATTACTGTACGGTTGGAATATCTTATACTTTTAAGTGATCAATTAACTCCTTATTTATAACTAAAGTGAGTATAGTTCAACGTTAAGTGACATATATCTCAAATTAAGAGGTTGTGAGCTCGATCCTCCATCTCCACATATTATACTAAAAAATAATTTGTACATAATGGAAATGCTTTAGTACAAATTTATGGTAAATTATGATCGAAATAAATTAGATAAAAATAAAAATAATTTTTTCAAATTAACATTTAAAAGCTACTAGGTCAAAATGAACTAAAACTGAACATACTAAAATCGAAATACTATTTAAACAAAAAATTAAATTAAACTTCATTTTCAAGTATGTGTTTAATAAATTTTTCAACTTTATATTTTGTGTATAATAAATCATTCCTCTTTAAAATTTTCAAATTTTTACAGAACTATTGAAATTTAATGTCATCTAAATTTTCAATTTTGTATATCTGTGATTTTTTTTTCAGATGGATAACTATTAGACACAAAATTACAATTTTAATAACTTTTTTTAGTACAACATGTTGGGGAAGGGATTATTGATTGGTGGTATATGTCAATTACCGCTGACTATGTTTGTTTGGCACAATTTTAACAACTTGTTGGAGAATTTTTTAATTTTAGAGGCTTATTAAGTACAAGACTAAAGTTTTAAAATTTCAAAGAGTAAACTTATCATTTAAACTAACCAGTCTATTCATGAAAAGAAAAAATTTATTTTGAAGTCAGTGTTGCAACTTGAGATGATATGTTAAAATAAAATTTCATTTGAATGATAGTTAAATAAAATATTCTAAAGATATAATTCAAATATTGGAATATGTGGAAATTTAAAAATGCATTAACTATTGAACTATCCTCGTATTGATTTTGACTTATATTTAATAAAATATAAAAATAAAAGATGAATATGAATATGAATATGAAATTAAACACAATGTTTAAAAGTATAAGTGCGTTAACTTCTTTTTAATTATATGCTAATTAATTCCATTATTTAATAATATATATTAGACCATTTTTAATAATTAATAATTATATTAAACCTACAATTGTTTCACTCCAAATCATTCGATGTTAGTTTTAACTAGTTTTGTATAATAAATAATTGGTTGTCTTAAATATAAAATTATCAATTAAGACGTGTGTTTGAATATAAATTTTATTATAGTCTTTTTCTGGTTCAACTATGAAGTAAAAATTTGTACTTTTAAATAGAACTATAGTTTAAATCTACAAATTTCATTAGTCATGGGGGGATAATAACTCATTTGTTTACCTCATTATATTATCAAATTACATTATAGGTTGTTGTGTAGTGCGCTCTATAAGCTAACTTCATTATAAAATATTGTCAGAGAAGAGAAAAAAAAATCCCTCTTCACATACCATAATGGTATATTAAACGTAAGACCCCATTTAAAGAAAAAAAAAGTTCATACAAAAAAATGTTATCTTTCACTTATATTATTGTGTTATTTAATATAAATATGAAACAATGTATTAATTGGTCTGCTCTTAATATAGTATACGAATAAATTTTAACTTACACAATTCTATATCTATACTATATACAAAATGAACTACTGCGTAGAACTCTATTTCTCCATTTCGCCTTTCTATTTTTCTTTTTAACTCAGTTGAAATTGATTATTTTTATTTATTATTTTTCGTAAATTAAATAATCTATACTTACTATCTATACTATATATAAATGGAGCTATGGAGCAAGATCTTTACCTTCAATTTTTGCCCTCGACTTTTTAATATATACCAATTTTACCTTTTAAAGTTCTACGAGACGCAACTGTTCGAATCAAGGGTGTCGGTTGAGATAAGTTAATCCCCAAGAATTGCAACTGCTTGACAAAGTGATGCATCACATAGGTGTGATTGGAGACCATTTGTAAAAGAAAAGAAAACTATGTACTTTTCTAGACACTATAAATCTTCCTTAAAGAGAGAGAATTGTGTGGCTCTGCAGAAACTCGTGGTGCAATGATTCATAATGATGAAGGAAGATGAAAGTAATGAGATTGAGAGTTGTGGAAATTGGGAATCTCTCTTAGGGATGATGAAAACAATGTTGGCGTCATATTTTTAAGTATACCATACTTTACTAGGCCCCTAGTAAATAATTTGGTTTTAGCCTCCTCGTACTATCTTGAACTGCTCTTGCAATTAAAAAATAGTAATAGTTACAGAGTGGAATCAAAGCTTGCAATGTGTCATTCTTACCTAAAACACAGGTCTAGGCACCATGGATGAAATTATGGGATAGCTCAAACTCAGCACCGACTTGAAAATATGAATTCTACCAAGACGCTGTCTACCGAAACTTCAAAATAGCATGACAAGGCTTTCTAGAACGGTCTCCATATAAAAATGGAGTTCATTCCTTATAAATGTATGTAATTCTATACTACCGCATTAGGTTTGACTCAACTCCTTCTCGAACTAAACACCACGCGAATGCAAAGTTTTTTTTTCCTTTTTCCTTTATGAACAACTTCACCTCGTTTAGAATCTTACGAATGCTCTACCTCAAAAATTGTAATGAAGATATCATTAGGAAAAAATAGTGTGGATAAAAAAATCTTCACTTCACGTAAATAAATGTACAATTAAATTTTATATATGAAATGAATAAATAGAATCTTTCCATGAAAATAAAACCAAACGGCTCGAGAATAAATTTACGCAAATAGCAGAGATCAACTTTTGTTAAGAATCAAAATCAAGAGCGCGAGGAGCAAGGTGATCCCATTCCCATGGCAGGCAATTTGCCCTGTTCT